AAGCTGGCTAATGGCCAGCATAATGTTGTTTATTATTTACACACACAAACACGCGCACACACACACGCTCACACACACACACACACGCTCGCACACACACACACACACACACACACACACACAGACACGCGCTAGTCAAAGTGTTAACCCATTCGTCGTCACCTTTTTGCCCCCAACATATTTGGATAATTTAACGCGCGCCGCTTGTAAATTTTCACACACACACACACACACACACACACACATACATGCATACACAAATACAGGCGCAACTAAACCATGCTAAGCAAATAAACATGCCCACACACAGGCGTGTGAGCGAGCGCGATAGAGAGACCTCTCATCTTCCACCCCCTCCCCTCTCTCACTCCCCCTCTCGGCTGATCCCATTGGGGAAGGCAGCCAGTCAAATAAACGCCGTCAAATAAAGTTTTTCAGATAATTATGAGGCAGCCAGCAGCTGCCCTGTCTCTCTGTATGTGTGTGTGCGTCCACGTGTGTGTGTGTGTGTGCACATATAAACTTTTAATTAGCTACAAAGCGCCAACAAAAAATCAGACGAAATTTACTATGCGACGCTTGTATGGCCAAATAGCCAAAACGAGTGCGAGCGAGAGAGCAGACGAACAACAGTGTGCGAGTGGAAGCGAGAGCGCGAGAGTGGAGAGTAGTAGTAAACGAGAGCGCACTTACGGCTAAGCTCGCTCGCTCTCGCGCCAGCTGCAGATGCTGTGGTGTAAGCCTTATTCAACACACCACGGCGGCAGCAGCAGCAGCTGCCCACTCACACACACACACAAACACTGAGCTAAATCAATATACAAACAAGCGGCAGAGAGTGAACAGCAGCAGCAGCAGCAGCAGCAGCGGCTGGCGCTTTTGGCCAGGCGTTAGTCGGCATTTTGGTTGGTTGTTTTTTAACACCTTCTGAGCATATTTTGAGCATTTGCTGTTGTTGTTGTTGCTGCTTTTGTTGCTGTTGCTGTTGCTGTTAATATCCATTTGCTCTTTCAGTTACAGCGCCGCAGCAGCAGCAGCGCCTTCATTGCCTTAGCATTAGCGTCGAGTGCGGCCAATTGAACTGCAATTAATGTAAGAAGGCTTTGCGTTTACTTAGCCCATTGTTTATGTCTGGGTCCAAAATATACATTTTGACTATGTACACCCGTTTGGGCTTCTAAGCCAACTAATCGCCTTTCACTCCAACAACAACAACAGCAACAACAACAACAACAACAACAAGACTCGCCACAGGTTTGGCTGACGTGTAGCATCCTCATTGTCTTTTCTTCACCACAGCAACAGCTACGACGGCGACGTTGGCGTCGCTGCTGCTGTAATTTTTCACACCACAGACACCGACACACACACACACACATATATATATATATATATACATACGTACACTCTCACACACATCCATGCAAAGAAATGTTGTCACCTCTTACACAGTTACAACAACAACAGCAACAACAGCAAGAGCAGCAGCAGCCACCACGACGTCGCGCCATTTCACTCACACACACGGCACGGCTAAGGCACGGCGCAGAGGAGTTAACATTGCCGCCGCCATTGTGAGGTGTGGTGTTAACTAGCTGGCGCGTCGCTACGTACGTGTGTGTGTGTGAGTGTGTGTGTGTGCATGCTCTCTGTGCGTATGTATTTGTGGTTAAACTTGTCACACAAGCTGAGCACTGCTCAGTAGCAGCAGCAACAGCAACAACAACAACAATGGGAACAGCCTGTCGGGTAGCAAGTTCAACGTCGTCGTCGTCGTCGTCGTTGTCGCTGTCGTTGCGCTTGTCGTCTTTTTCTTGCGCACAGGCGACGCAAATAGTGCCAGCCAGCTCACTCACACACACATGCACGGCTTGTGTGTGTTATTATGCTGTATGCCTGTATGTGTGTATATGTATGAAAACGTGTGACAAAATACATTTGCGTTGCCGTTTTTGCTTTTTGGCGCCGTCGCCGTCGTCGCTGCCAAAGCTTCTTTGTCTGCTGCTGCTGTTGTCAGTGTACGTGTGTGTGTGTCTATGCTTGTTTGCGTGTGTATGTCTTCTGCTTGAGCTTTGCCTTTCATTTGCACGCCTCGTCTCGTGCCGTCTCGCTCACACCCACGCCCACCGCCACTGGCCGTGTTTGCGCAAACTTAGCGTCAAGTTTGTCACACGCGCGCCTGTCCAGCTCTTCTTCTTCTTGCTGCTGCTGCTGCTGTAGTTGGTTTTGTTTTTGCTGCTCCTCTTTTTGCTCGGCTTTTTCGCACTTGCGAATTTGTACGTTGCTTAGGCGTCGGCAACGGCATCGGCATCGGCATCGGCGTCAGCGTCGTTAGCGCCGAAGTTGCTGCCTCTCCCGCTGCTGCTGCTGCTGCTCCTGTCGCGACATAAATCTCCTGTATTTACATTTACGGACGCACAAAAGCTGCCAAAGCGGCAAAAGCGCGTTTAACTTTGAAATGCGGCGCCTAATCCGCACTTATCGCCCGCCCCCTACTCCACAATGCCGTAGGTGTGGCCGTTAGTTGGAAGTGATATTCTAATTGGACATGTGCATGTATGTAGTTTTCCTGTAGCGCTCGCAATTCAATTGGAAAATCGGCAGCAATAATTCCAATAAGGAAAAAGCTTTAATTCCAATTGATAAGGGGTTCAATAAATAATGTCACATATTCTGATTGGGAAATCGGCACCGGTAGCTTCAATTAAACAATTTAATTGGAAAAAAATTAATTCAATCATATTTTTTAAGAACTGAAAAGTAGAATTATTCATCATACATTTTATTTCTATATAATTGGGCATTTCTTAACAGTATTTGGTAATAATTTGAAGCACAATAGTACATTTTCAGCATTATTTAAAATATTAAAAGTTTAGTTTAATTTTGTAAGAGCTTTGCCTGCGATCACTTTTGCTGTTGCTTTCTCGCTCTCTCACAGGCGCTTTCTACATATATTCTGATCAGAAAAAGGTCAGTCTAGGTCAAATCAGCACGCGCTGTGTTCCAACTTGGCTGTCTCCCCCCTTCCCCTGTCACTCCTCGCTTTACGTTTGTTTGCCTTATCTGTGTTGCCTTTTATCGCATTTACTGTGCTTTACTCACCTCTGCCCGCCAAGCGAACACCCCACAGCCCACAAAAACCCACCCCACCCCATAGCACATCACATACGCTCTGCTCCTTGCGCAGCACATTCATCAAGCCTCCCTCTCACTTTAGCTCACCGCCCCCTCTCCATCGCCCTCTCCCACTCCCACTCACCTCCTCCTTCGTCGGTCCATCAAAACATTTGACCATTGAAGCGCATTTTTCGCTTGCGCGTCATTTGTCAACTTGGCCGTTACCCCAAAACCCAACACATCTCCCGTCCCCCTCTCCCATGGAGCTAACAGCTTTTTTTTTTGCTTTCTTTTCTACTTGGACGTTTTCTGTTTTTATTTTTTTTTGGCTATGATTTACTACACTCTAGCAGATTATTTTTATTTTATTTTATTTTATTTTTTTTATACATACATATATATATTTGTTTGTGTGTGCTTTTATGTGCTGCTCTCATTTTGAGGCATTTTTCTGGCGCGCTGCACTTTTGGTGTCAGCTGCCTTGTTACTTCTAACACGCTTCATGCTGCTTGTCACACGCCTTGCGACGGCTTGACGCTGCCGACGTCGGCGCCGCTGCCGCTGGTTGGTTTGTCACAGTCGTCTTGTTGTTTGTCTGCACGCACACATATACACGCTCTCACACAAGCGCATATACACACACACACACATATATATACGGTAAAGCGTCAACTCAACACTTTGGTTTTAGGTTTTCTTATTGGAGTCGCACTCTCAGCGTATGTCTCTCAGTCTGCCCTGCTCCCACACTCTAGCAGCCGTAGTGCGCAACATACCCAATCCGACTCACTCGCACGCCCAGCAACAAAAACTCAACACACCACACCATACACACACACACACGATACACTCTCTCACTCACTCTCGCTCACTCAACACTCGTCTGCTACTCGCCAAAAAGCGCTGCCCACCCGGGCAGCGACTGAGGCAGCATTGTCGTCGTCGTCGTCGTCGTTGCTCGTGTATTGTTTGTTGTCTTCGGGGGTTGCGCTGCCTGCGTACGTCTGTGTATTTTCCAGTTTGGAAGCGACCGGCGTGTAGTTCGTATCGGCGTCGTCGTCGTTGGCCCGTCTGTGTCAGTTATTTTGTCGTGAACGTTCTCTAGCAAACAAATAATTCCCATTACTCATTTTTTTTCTGGTTGGAAGCTGCACAATTTGTTAATAACAATAAAAGCCCAGCTGTGCCAGCAGCAGCAGCAGCTCAAGTAAAAGTGACTGCAGCAGCAGTAGCAGCAGCAGCAGCTTTCAATAAGCCTGCGTCGCCGTCGCCGTTGCCGTCGTCGCGTTGACGTTTTGCCGCCGCCAAAACAAATAATTTTTTTTTGAAATTTGATTGAAACCAAAAAGAAAAGCAAAATATACAAAGAAAAAAATATTTCTAATTTTTTTTTTTTTAACATATGAAGCACAGCAAAATTAACAACAACAACAAAACAACAGCAACAAAAGAAAATAGAAAAATATACTACACAAATATGTGCGTGCGTGTGTGTGTGTGTGTNAGATATGCTGTGTATATACATTTGGTGAATACGAAGATTTTGTAAATTACAGATTTTGGATGTAAGGGCGTTACATCCAAAATCTCCTCAATTTTTAAATAACGTATTTCAAATAATAGAGACTGCTTTGGAATGTACACACATTGTATCCATAGACTCTGTCGGTCTATCCATATAAATGAACGCGTCAATTTCAGAAGATATAAGAGCTAGAGACTTTAAATTGGGTTTAAAATGTCCGTATATTAAGTGCGCATATCGACTTTATCTCAAAAAATCGATAACTCATCCCGTTATTTTGTTATCGAAAATCAGTTATAAAATTATAATCTTGAATGCTAAAGTGTCCAAATATATAAATATATATCTAGAAAGAGATAGATAGAGATAGAGAGAGAGAGAGAGAGAGATACATATATCAAAGTACCTGTTCAACTGGCGAACTCGAACTCGAATTCAAACTCGAAACGTAGTTTGTACAATTTATTGCGTGACGCACATGTTGTTGTAAATTGTAATGTAATGAGATACGACGTCCAGGAGCTGCTACTTCATCAGTCTGCTGAGGATCCATTCGCCAGGTTCGCAAATGGGATGGCATATCATCCATTTCTGCAGCTCTCGCAAAGACCCACTGACTTCAGCGTCTCGTCGCTGTTGACGGCGGGTAGCAACAGCAACAGCAACAGCAACAACAACACCAACAACAACAACAGCAACAACAACAACAGCAACAACAGCAACAACAACAGCAGCAACAACAACGCAGCTCAAGCTCTCAGTTCGCCAGGCTCGGGCGGTGCTGCAAATTTTCGCGGCTCGCCCTCGCAGCTCTCCCCGCTCAGTAATCACAGCAACAACAACAACAACAACAACAACAGCAACAATAAGAACAACAATCACTTGAACAGCAGCGAATCAGCATTGAGCGGCAGCCAGGCCAATACGCCAACGGCGACGCCGCCGCCGCCGCTGCCGCCCGTTGGAGTTGCTGCCGCTGGGCCGCTGCCGTCTCTACCCGCGCACCACTCACCCAGCGTTGCACCGCCGCCGCCGCCACCGCCACAGCAGCAACCACCTGCAGCTGGACTGCCACAGCATCCAGTGCATCCAACGCATCCGCCGCCGCTGCCTCAACAGCAACAACAACAACAACAGCAGCAGCAGCAGCAGCAGCATTTGGGAACGCAGCAGCAGCAGCCGCCGCCGCCGCCATATTTTCCGGCTGCAGCGCTTGCCGCACTGGCCGGCAGTCCGGCGGGGCCGCATCATCCGGGGCTGTATAGCGCCGCCGGCGGTTTGCGCTTCCCACCGCATCCAGCGCATCCGCACGCCCACCATCCGCTGGGCACCGCCTACACCACCGCCGAGGACGTGGTGCTCGCCTCGGCCGTCGCCCATCAGCTGCATCCGGCGATGCGACCGCTGCGCGCCCTGCAGCCCGAGGACGATGGCGTCGTCGACGATCCCAAGGTCACGCTCGAGGGCAAGGATCTATGGGAGAAGTTCCACAAGCTCGGCACCGAAATGGTCATCACCAAGAGCGGCAGGTAAGCAGAGTGTCAATGTTAACATCGATCCAGAACCAGATCGAACATTAGAGACATAGAGCAGGGTATCTCCGCAAAACTTTGTTGATTGGGGTTTCCCAGGAACCCCTAAGGTTTTGCTGATTGAGAGGTCTTAGTGATCCATTGATCGATCGGTAAATCCTATTGACTCTTGAGATCTTGAAAGTGAAAGTCCTTAGTACATATGCAAGTTCCACAACTTGAATAAGATCTTTTGATCTGAAACTTTGAGCAACAGCTCTATGTGATACACATACACATATATATATATCTTTGGAGTGAACTATCCTAGTTAATGAAATTGAAAAGTGCTTACTATAAATACATATCAAGAGATCTTTGATGGTTCTTCGGTTTCCCCCTGGGGGGTTTTAGTTCTTAAAAGAGAAAACAATTGGTATACAATTTGTTCTATGATGTCAACTTCAAGCAAGATCTATGTGATATATGAACCTTTTGACCAGTGAAAATATTCTAGTTAAAGAAAGTCTAGAGGATCTATGATCTCCTACCCCCTCAGTCCCTTTTCTCTCAGTGAAAAATTCAAATTTGTGTTTTACTTAGAATATTTATTAGAATGTGAAAATAAAGTCTAGAAAGCAACTTCGTTAGTGAACTGTTTCTCTCTGATCCTTCGATCCATAGTGCTCTTAACTTTGAGCTAAAATATTTCTCTAAAAAGTGCCTAATTCTTATGGAATTTATCTCTCAATAAAATTGCTTGAGTCCAAATTTAAACTGTGAAACGATAAATCTCTTTACCAAAAATAAGTTTGGATATAAGAATGTTCCCCCGAGATCTTTGATCTATGATACTTGCGTGAGTTTCAATTTCTAGGTGAATCTCTGGGTAGTAGCCTAGAGTGTAAAATCTATAGTGCGTGCAAACTCTATGCGGAATATATATTTTGATAGAATATTAAATTCTATTTTATTTTTATTTGACTGATGATAGTT